TATGCAGATGACACAACTTTGCTTGCTGAAAGTGAAGAGAACTTGAAGCACTTACTGATGAAGATCAAAGACCACAGCCTTCAGTATGGATTACACCTCAACGTAAAGAAAGCAAAAATCCTCACAACTGGACCAATAAGCAACATCATGATAAAAAGAGAAAAGACTGAAGTTGTAAAGGATTTCATTTTACTTGCATCCACAATCAATGCCCATGGAAGCAGCAGTCAAGAAATCAAATGATGCACTGCATTGGTAAATCTGATGCAAAAGATCTCTTTAAAGTGTTAAAAAGCAAAGATGTTACTTTAAGGACTAACGTGCACCTGACCCAAGCCATGATGTTTTCAGTTGCCTTATCTGCATGTGAAAACTGGACAATGAATAAGTAAGACTGAAGGAAAATTGATGCCTTTGAGTTACGGTGTTGGCAAAGAATATTGAATATACCGTGGACTGCCAGAAAAACAAACAAATCTGTCTTGGAAGAAGTACAGCCAGAATGCTCTTTAGAAGCATGGATAGTGAGTCTTTGTCTCACATACTTTGAACACGTTATCAGGAGGGACCAGTCCCTGGAGAAGGACATCACACTTGGTAAAGTAGACGGTCAGCGAGAAAGAGGAAGACCCTTAATGAGATGGACTGACACAGTGGCTGCAACAACGGGCTCAAGCATAACAATGATTGTGAGGATGGCGCAGGACAGGGCAGTGTTTCATTCTGTTGTATACAGGTTGCTATGAGTCAGAACTGACTCAATAGCACCTAACAACATATGTTCAAACACCTGCTTTCTTAAAAAAACAAAAGAGAAAACCTCCCAATTCTACACTTCATACTCTCTCTCTCCTTCCATTTACAGACAAGTTCCTTAAAAGAGTCATCTATATAATATCTCACCTCCCAATGTCTCCTCAATTCTCTGCAATGAGACTTCTGCCTCCACCACTGCCCTGAAATTGTTCTGAGGTAAAGGCATCCTCATTACCAAATTCAGCGTTCCTTTTCAGTTCTAACCTTCTTAACGTCTCAGCAGCATCTGATAATCCTGACCACTTTATTCTCCTTTGAAACTCTCTTGATGTCACTGTCACCACATTTTCCTTTCTACGTCTTTGACGAAAAGTTCAGCCTCACTTGTTCTCTTCTTCACTTGCTGACCCTTGAATGGTGGTATTTCCCAGGATTCTATCTTTGCCTCTCATATTTGGTCGAATCCATGCTCTCCCGAGATGTTGCTGTCCACATCCACTGCTTTTACTCCTATCCACGTACTGATGACTCCAAGGTCCATCTTCCATTGAGACCTCTCCTCTGAGCTCCTGGTATTGGTTGATTATCTCAAATGCATCTCAAACTCACTAAGTTTATCCACTTTTTTTCTAAGCTGCCTCCTCCTGTGGTACCTCCACTCACTCAGTCCCCCGGGATTGGAGCCAGTCCTGACTCTCTTTACTCACCAGCACCGTATGTAAAGACTAAGCACTGGAAAATTTAGCTTCTTTGTGGTTTCATAGCCACCACTTCTCTGTTACAGACTTGATGCCGTAGAGATTGTTGTGAAAATTAAATAAGATGCCACACACATACTAATTTGCATGGCACCTGATAAAATGTTGATTGAATCTATAAGCAAGAAGCTAGCATTTCCAGGTGATTTTCTTACTTGACATACATGGACATTTAGGAATTAGTATTTCCTTTTTTAAGTCACTAAAATCTATGTGACTCACACATTACACTGAAAGAGCAAGTAACTAAATATAGTCAGCTGGCTTGTAAGATTTATGCACTGCGAGGCTCCTGAAATCAGAGAATTGTTTAGATTTTGGAATCTTCAAGTTACTCCTGATGTGATTTAAGTTTCCAGTGGAATGTGTTGAAGCAAGAAAATAGAATTGTATGAATTTGGGTTTCTTTTAACCAGGCATCATTAATTTAAAATTATATCTTCTGTCTGTGGAATTTCCCTTTTCTGGAACTTGGAGTGCTGGGTAGATACATGCTATAATGCAAGTCTTTTTTCTCTCCCTCCTATGGCCTCTTCCTCTCTGTGACGAGGAGAGCTCTGTGGGTACAAGTTTTATTTCATTGAACATTCAACCATGTGTAAAATGTAATAATAAATAGTTTATTCTCTTTAAAATATTCTCCAGTATGTTGTAAATTCTCTGACCTATCACGTATTTATCACACAATGAAATTTGTTACATTTCTATTGATGGAGATGGGAGATTTGGCAGACATATTACTTTAGATTCTGTTGGTTGCAAGTAACAGAAACCCAACTCTACTCTCTTAAAGAATAAAGTCAATTTGTTGGCTCGTGTAACTGAGTTGTCCAGAAGCAGGGAAGGCTTTTCTTCAATCCACTCATCTTTGTCCTGCTTAGGATCCTGAGTCCTAGTTGAGTTCTATCACTATCATATCACTTACACAAGTTTTAACTGATGGTGTCACATGAATTGTAACTGTTCCTTGTAATTGTTCTCTGGAGAGCCTGGTAGATTCTGGGCTGCTACGCAGGCTGCTGTAGTGTGTGATGATGGTGTAGTGAAGATTATTATTTGTTTAATCGAAGACATTTTAAATTTTAAATGGAAGATTTTTAGAGGATAAAAACGATAATTAAAAATTCCAAATGAATAAGCATTGGAGTAAGAAAGTATTCTCAAAGAACATTGTTTAACCCTCATTTTAGAGATTTCCTGGCCAGGCCATCAGCAATATTTCATGAGAAAAAGAAGGAATTTGATTAATGTCAACTATCTAAAAATTAAATTTAAAAATTAAATGCTATTTTTAAACATTTCAAAATTACCATCCAAATACATAGCATGCCTTGGTTACCAAGAGTCAAGTGTAGCTTCAGGAAGCTAAAGCTATAAGCCAAGCTAACATATGAGAAAAATCACATCAGTAATTTCTCAGAAATATGGAAAAATGTTACAAATGGAACTGTTTCTGTAGAGAATGCAATATACAATATCTAGAAACTGTCTAAAGAGTAGTGAGCTCTACACTGTATCATTTTATCCTTTTTCCTAGTAAGAAGAGATAAATACACTGTTTGTATAGGTGGTGTGTATATGTGTGTGTGTTTTCTGTTACCCTAAGTAAATGGAATGAATAGACTCTCTTAAGATGGATTGCATAGTATGTGGAATTCATGCTTACTGTCTTATAAGGAGTTACTTGTATATAAAATCTTATGGACACAAATTGAAAATATGTGTAATTTATAAGCAAAGGAAAAACAGCTTTAAATCCTAGTGCTAGGCATTTTAAATTTCTGGCTGATTTATAAACTTTCAAAAGCTCATGCTACTAAGCAATTGAAAATGTCTAAGGCTATACATGTTTAGCTAATAGTTACTCTTCAGCTAGCCACCCTATGGCATTTTGCATGCTATTTTTCATTTTTTCTGCCTATATTTTTTTTGTCTAGCTTTTTCAGAAATTTTATTCCTATTTCTGTCACACTGTCGCCTTTTAGTCTATCTTGCAAGAATGTAACATCAGCAGCCAAATGAACCTAGGAAAGAAAAAAAAGCCTTGTGTCATTCAATTTTTTCAAAAAAAGATTTTTCTCAGTCCCCTTTTCAGCTGTATTCATCCCATAAGGAGTTGACTTTATTTATGGAATGATAAAAATAACAGCCAGTTCTGTGGACTAAAGGCCCTTTACTAGGTGTTCCCCAGAGACGGTCTGGCTGTGTCAACCCTGAGGTATGAATCTAGAAAGAGAAGCGTGCTTGAGGACCTGGCCCAACTCAGATGGTTCTGGGGCAGACCCAGAGGTATGGGCCTGTGCCAAGCTTTGCCCACAGTGCAGGGCTGAACTAAAGCTCCATCTTAAGAACACAAATTCCCAACTCAAAGATAGCCTCAACCCAGTATGCAGGCCAGGCAGAACTTCCAAGAAGTGGACCCTTAAATGGTTCCTCTCAGATTGATTCGCCATAAATCATTCTGTCTTTAGCTAAATCACGTAATCATTTATCCTAACAACATTTAGCAACCACTTACGGCTTTGAAAAAAAATCAACTAAATAAATTATGAATATAAAATTAAAGATTGAAATTACAGACCTGAATATTTGATGCTCAAGCCTCTCTTCTTCTGCAAAGCATTTCCCATTTCCCAGACCCCAAAGTAAGCCCTCAGGGCTTACTTCACTTTCATTACAATTTGTTCACATAGGAGAGCATGAAATTGTTGACCTACACTCAGTAGAGTCTTCATTCAGAGTTATTTTAAGTCATTGGGATAAATAAGAAAAAATAAGGGAAAGTATCCAGTAAAAGCAAATAAAACCAAAACCAAACCCATTGCTGTTGAGTTGATCCCAACTCATAGCCACCCTATAGGACAGGGTAGTACTGCCCCATAGGGCTTTCAAGGCTGTAATCTTTACGGAAGCAGATTCCTCATTTTTCTCCTGCAGAGTGTCTGGTGGGTTCCAACCACCAGCCATTAGATAAACAGACAAACACTTACCCACTTCGCCACCAGGGCTCTTTTCTAAAAGCAAATAAGTGAAAATATCTGTGTCTAGTAGGAAATTAATAACTATTTATTGAATCTAATCTCACTCAATTCTCTTGTCCAACCAGCCTGCATTTACCAAACAACAGACCTTGGTGTGACAAGTTATCTGGCTCATACAGGGAAGAAAAACTATGCCTTTGTGATGCCCACTACACAATAAAAGGGTGAGAATGCACTTTGAAATATAGAAGCCAAATTCACTCTCAATTATTTTTTTCCATAAAATCTTGTGTCTTTGTCAAAATTTAACAGAAAATCAATTAAAATAACATGGAGACTAAGTTGAAGCTATTTTGATATTGAAACTATTTTGATATTTGGGACCACATAAAGTTTGATGCCTATTTGTCATTTAGCATATTAATCAGCTGTTATCCATGAAAATTGGAGACTTCCTTATCCTTTTTTTGACTTGGTTTTAAGTCAACCCTTTGCACATAAGCTTCCAGAACTCTTCCTTTCCCTTCCTTGTTCTCATGGCCACCGATTGCAGAGCAAACCTAGAAAAATGCTAGGGTAGCAGCATGAAGGATCTGTGTGAATAATAATTACTTCTATTGTTTTACTATATCCTTCCACTAATTTTCACAAATAATTGAAAATAATACACATGCCTCATTATTGGGTATGTCAACACGTGTCTAGCCTTTGGCTACTGTCTGGTCCCACCACTCTTAATAGCTAAACTTCTGGAAAAATGAGACCTGTTCTTGGCTCATTCAAAAAACTAAAAAAACTCATTGCTGTTGAGTCAATTCCGACCCATAGCAACCCTACAGGACAGAGTAGAACTACCCCGTAGGGTTTCCAAGGAGCAGCTGGTGGATTCGAACTGCCGACCTTTTGGTTAGCAGCCGAGCACTTAACCACTGTGTCACCACGGCTCCCTTGGCTCATTAGTCTACAATAAATTATCTTCTTCTCTCTCTACTTTCCTTAAATAGCTTTTACTAAGGTCCTCCCTGACTTTTCGTTCCTAAATGTTGTGGAAATTTTTCAGATTTAATTTTACTTAGCCTCTCTGCTGTACTTGATCTTGTTAGTCACTCCCTCTTCCTAAAATCCTCTCAATTTTTTTTTTAAATCAATAAATAATCCAAGTGTGGAAACCAGCCTTCAAGACAGCCCCCAATGATTCCCACCTCCTGGTATTCACATCCTCAGGTGGTTCCCTCCTACATTGCAACAGGGCTGGTTTGTGGCAAATAGCATACAGCAGAAGTGGTGGTATATCACTTCTGAGGTTAGGTTATAAAAAAACATGGCTTCCATCTCTGTTTTTCTCTCTCTCTGGTCATCTTTTCTGGGCAAAACCAGTTGCCATTTTGTGAGTAGCTCTCCAAAGAGGCCATGTAGCAAGGAACTGGAGCCTCTGGCTAACTGTCGACAACCATGTGAGTGAGCTTGGAAGCAGATTCTAGAGCCCCAGTCAAGTCTTCAGAGACAGCAACCCTAGATGACAACTTGATAACAATCTCATGAGTGACTCTGAGCCGGAATCACCCACCTAAGCAGCTTCTAGATTCTTGATCCTCAGAAACTATGTGAGATAACAAACGTTTGTTGTTTTAAGCTAGTACATTTGCGGGTAATTGGTTATACAGCAATAGATAACTAAAAAAAAAAAAAAGAAAAAACAACCAACTACTGTTGAGGCAATTCTGACTCATGGTGACCCCATGTGTGTCGGAGTAGAACTATACTCCATAGGGTTTTCAATGGCTGAGTTTTCAGAAGTAGATTGCCAAGCCTTTCTTCCAACGTGCCTCTGGGTGGGCTCAAAATGCCAATGTTTTGGTTAGCAACTAAATGTGTTAACAGTTTGTACCACCCAGAAACTCCAGATAACTAATACACCCAGCACAATGAAGTATGTTCTTTACCATTTCCAGGGCACCTCTGATAATCCCACAGAGTAAATTACAGTAGCACAGAGAAGATCGCCCAGTGGGGAGCTCTTCCACAAACTCCACCAGAGGATTCTTGTCTAGAATCAGAGAAAACTCATTTCTACTCGAATTGTTACAGGTCACATTTGGTGTAATTCCCAAGTACATCTTGAAAGCAACCTGATAAAAAGAAGATTAAAAAAAATTTGATAAAACTTGGTCAAGAACAAATATCTACTAATAGGGTAACCTATTTTTACCAGCAGTGCAGCACAATGGTTGAGCATGTGGAGCTTGTAGTCAGAATGTCCAGGTTCAGACTTACCTTTACAGTTTCTTGACCCTATGACTTGTGCAAATTTTAAACATTTTTATTTTTAAGGAGCCTTCTAAGGGACTAGTGTTCTGTGGCAATATTATGGTTTATGACACACCAGGCTAAGGCGTTACTTTCAGAAAATTTTTTTCAAAAATAAATATCATCTAGGAGGGTAGGAAATTAAAATATTATCAGTCATAAACATACCACCATATTTGTCACATTGAGCCTAGCAAAGTGTAAATTCCTGAATTCTTAGAAGGGGCACAGGACACATCTGCTGCAATAGGAAAGTAGCGATCAGAGCAGCGGATGCTATGGGCACATTGGGCCCAAGAGTGTTTTGGGAGATAGTGAAACTCATATTACTAAGGATGACAAGTCTCTGAGAAGGAGCAAGCAGCAGTGGTGGGAGGTACATAATGCATTATAAAGTAACTTTTCAAAAAAAAAATCTACCATTTTATGGTGCTTATAGAAGTGGAAGGAATCATGGATACTATTTCTTTTACAACCTTGGTTTCACAAATGAGTAAACTAGGATTCAGAAAAGTAAAATGGCATATGGCCAAGTCCATACTATAAGTTAGCTCCTTGCATCATAGTCCAAGGCAATTTCTTTTTGCCAAATGCAAAGGCCTGGACTTGAAGTTTAGTAACAAAAATTTGTCGCGTTCCAAGTGCCTTAATTAGTTTAATTTTTAAATTAAGAGTAATGTGGGAGAGAGATGGAAACTATTTCTTCAAATTATGTATAATTAGAAATACTAAAAGATTCATTCAGTCATTCAGCTGGTACTTATTGAGCACTGTCTATTGAGCACAGTGCCTGGCATATGATGGGAGTTCAAGTTCTCTTTGAAAAGCAAATTATTAAATGAACATCCACTCTGTGTTTGAGACCATAATTAAGATGTAGTTCCTGTTTTATAAGAGCTCATAAGGATCCCTGACGGTGCAGTGGCTAAGCGTCCAGCTGCTAATCAGGAGGTTGGCAGTTCAAACTCACCAGCCACTCCCAGGGAGAAAGATGTAGCAGTCTGCTTCCATAAAGATTACAGTCTCGGAAACCCTATGGGGCAGTTCTACTCTATCCTATAGAGTCACTATGAGTTGGAATCAGCTTGATGGCCCACAACAACAATAACAACAGCAAGAGCTCATAGCCAAAAAGGGGCTACAAACATTAAACAAATAACTGCAGTGGTGTGATAAGTCCTGCAAGTACAATGTAATGTATTAAGGAGCAATTAGGAATGCATTTGGGAGTAATTCTGGGACATATTCACAGAGAAAGAAACTTCTACTGTATTCATGAAATTGAGTGAGAGTTTGTCAGGTGAATGGGGAAGAGGCATTCTAGGCAGAGGGAAGAAGGCATGGGAAATACCATGATGAGGTTTCATGATGAGGTTTTGGGGAGCATGAGTGAGGTCTCTCCTGGAAGCAGTGGGGAGCCCCTAATGTGTTTAAAGCTAACGCAGAATTGGATTTTTGTTTTAGAGGGATCTCCTTGGTATTCGCATGGAGGACAGATTTAGAGTTAAGGGTTAAGGTGGGTAGTGAAGTCAAAGGCAGAGATATCAATCAACAGGTTACTGTGATGGCCAAGGAAAGAAATGATGAGGAACCGTCTCCTTTTGTCTTTTCTTCAAAACTCAAACCCTCCCTAATACTTTCCATATAAATTTCAAAAAGCCCAAATCCTAAAATTTAGTTCAAGCCTCTAACCCTAGGCAGTTTAAGAGGATATAAAACAAATTCCTGTCTTCCAAACCGTAAGTCAAGGAGCAAAAGAACAAAACCATCATGAAACTCTAGGCTTGGAGATTCGACTTGGCCCCCAGTCAATTGGCTGGCACCCATTTCTGCTAATGTTGATTCCTTCAGCTGGAAAATTCCAAGACTATTATTCGTCTGAGTATTTCTTTCTAATTCTCTATCCAAACTGCCTGGAAATAATATAAAAACGGATGCTCTGTCCTTTGAATTTACTCTTTTTGTCAGTGTGTAGGCAGCAGTTTCACGACCCAGTGTCCACCAGTAGGAGGCATTCTCTGGGTTGGGAAATATTCATTCCTAGTAGATGACATTGTTTCCTTATCTGGCTGAATTCTGAGAAGGAGGACTGTTGTTTCTATGAAGAAAGAACTAGCTCCACCCTCGGCTACTGCCACAGCTGCTCTGCCGGTAAACTAAGGACAAACATTTTCCCTGTTTGTGGATTTCCAACATGGATGCTTTTCAGGGGATTTTAAAATTCCTCCTTAACCAGAAAACTGCTATAGGCTACAGCTTCATGGCTCTGCTGACCGTGGGAGGGGAGCGGCTCTTCTCCCTCGTGGCTTTCAAGTGTCCGTGCAGCACTGAGAATACTGTCTACGGGCTTGTTTTCCTCTTTGCTCCTGCCTGGGTGTTACTGATCCTGGGATTCTTTCTAAACAACAGGTCGTGGAGACTGTTCACAGGCTGCTGCGTGAACCCCAGGAAGATCTTCCCCAGAGGCCACAGCTACCGCTTCTTCTATATCCTCGGCCAGATCACTCTGAGTTCACTGGTGGCTCCAACGATGTGGCTTTCAGTGGCTTTGCTCAATGGGACTTTTTATGAATGCGCCATGAGCGGGACGAAAAGTTCCAGACTCCTGGAAATGATTTGCAAGGGCAAGCCCAAAGAGTGCTGGGAAGAACTTTACAAAGTATCTTGTGGCAAAACCAGCATGACACCCACCGACAATGAAGAGCTGAAACTGTCACTTCAAGCCCAGTCTCAGGTAAGAAAGGACAAATTCACCTTTCCCAGCATGAGCTGGAAGCATACTCTCTGTCCTCTTTTCAGCCAGGGTTGAATCAGAGCCTTGCCAGAACATTTTGAAGCTAAATGGAAACTGGAGCATAATGCAGCATTAAGACAATCCCCGGAAAAGCTTTTGGATAGCATGATGAAATTGCTGATTGGATCATGTATTTTCCATTTCCAAAAACTAAAAATCCTTTGGGTTATGCATATGTAAATACTTAAGTACTTTAAAACAATCTCTCTGGGTTGACTTTGTAAATAATGCAGGACACTAAATTACAAACCAGGTGTTAAGGGCAAAACTGCAATTAGAAATTACTGCCTCCTGTCAATTATTTACTTTCAAACTGGTTTCTCAGAAACACATATAGACATATTACTCAGCTATTATTATTTAGCTGAACCAAGTACGCTAATACTTGTTAAAGTTGCATGTGGTATAATCAGTGTAGAGATTTCTCTGAATGATTTCTGGCAACTGCTATCCCTATGTAAACATTGTTGAGATTGAGAATTCACCATATAAAGTAGGACTCAGCAGTCTTTAAATAGCTTTCAGTGAAAAGTGACTGTATTCTCCAGGGAGATTATGTCTTACACTCTTTGTGCTATATGGCTAAAGAAGTTCTTACCCTACCTTTGGAGCTCAAGATTTGGGGGATTGTTTTATTTAACAGAAGGAAATAATAGCTTTACTTAATGACGCAGGGAAATAGCTTGTCATCCCTCCAGGTACATGAGAGCAAATCCAGATGTGCAGCCTTGTCCTGGCCTCAGGAAAAGCCTGACTTCCTATCTGTGAGTAGTAGGATTGCATTCCCAAAACCAAAACAAGCAATAAGAGCAGATAAACAGACCCACAATTTGTCAGAAATGCTATTTGTTTCAGAGTAAATGCACTGAAGATGGTATAATTTTACTTTTATCAGCAAGGATTTGCCTTTACAATACATCAAGGCAGAGTTTATTTTTAAAACCATACATTCCAAAGCTGGTTGTCAGTATGGCTGTATTATTTTCATAAGCTGATAAGTCAAAATATACTCCAAAACAAAATCTTTTGTTCAATGCATAAAACATATCTTAGATAAAACATGCCAGGCTCCCAAATGGCTTTCATCTTTTGTTGTAAGAAGGTATTAATTAGGAACGCTATGACACAATAAATGGTTTATGATTGATGCCCTCAGGAACCAGCCTCCATTCAGTTAGTGCCAGGTTCTAACACTTATCACTCTATGAGCGGTTCTTCTCTAAACGCTGGCATAAGGAAATCACGTACATACTGTCATACCGTAGCTGGGCACACCTACCTGTTTACTTTTCAGTAGAATGAGAAGAGGCAGGGCCTGGAGTTGATTCCTGTGGGGAGGGTGGATGAGGTATGTAGACAAGAGGAGCTGTACCAACAGCAGGTGCTGAACACAGACGTTCAGATAGGCAGGAAGCAATGTACAGTCCAGGCCAATAGCTGGGTATGTGGGTGGTGGAGGTACGGGTGGAAAAAGTACATTCATCCATTTATCCATGGGTGGAACAGAGAAGAAATCCAGCTGCATGACTCTCTATTCTTAAGGAAGGTAAAGTACAGTAGTGGAAAGAACTTGGCCTTAAAGTTGGCTAGTCTTGAGTTTTAATAACTGACTCCACTATTTACCAGATACGAGAACTAGAGCTAGTGGTTTGACCTCTCTGAGCCCCAGTTTCCTCATAAAAAAACCTGTTGCTGTTGAGTCAATTCCGACTCATAGCAACCCTATAGGACAGAGTAGAACTGCCCCACAGGGTTTCCAAGATTCAGCAGGGGTTGGTTTATCCAATTCTGGAATAATCTATACTCTTTTCTTTTGCCTACTTTCTGGTTATTTCTTTGAACACCAGCAACGATGGGTAGGAGAACAGAGACTAGGCAAAGTTTAACTTTATTTTGACAGTTGAAAATGTTGTTTAAAAAATAAGAGTAATGATTTCAAATGAACTATGGCAATAGCTATGTAGTTAATTTAGCATACATTTCCTAATAACACTACTTCAGATCTCTGAAAAGTAGCTTTGCTTTTACATGTCCTCAATATTTTTCTTTCTAAGATTCTAGGATGGTGCCTGATTTGTTCTGCGTCTTTCTTCTCTCTGGTCACCACTTGCTATGCTCGTTGCCGATCTCAAGTTAGCTACCTTCAGCTGAGTTTTTGGAAGACTTACACACAAAAGGAGAAGGAGCAGTTGGAAAATATGTTCCTGGACTATGCCAACAAGTTGAGTGACAGGAATCTGAAGTGCTTTTTTGAAAATAAGAGACCAGAGGCCTTCCCCTTGCCCTCCTTTGCTGCCTGGGAGGCTGCTTCAGAGCTATATTCTTTCCACCAAACCCAGCAACACTACAGCACCCTCCACAGGGTGGTGGAAGATGGTCTGGAACCTAGCCCTGAGGAAAATGAGACAACAATGGTCCTTGTAGGTACCGCCCAGCAAATGTAGCTCATCCTCCATCACTGACTCCGGGTATGAGTGGTATACTCATCTGAGATCCTCCTACTGCTCAACAGCAACCTGTATATCTCTGTATTTTCATACATTTAGTGTTTCTTTCCAAGACAACATAAAGGAAGCAGCTTTGACGTACTCAAGTGCAAACAGTGTCAGATGTGCTCAAGCTGAGGCTGAGTTACTGGTCAAGAATGGTGACAAAGTTGCTCTGGTATTATTGGTTGGGGTTTTGGCTCAGTGGCCCCTAAGGTCCCTCTAAGTTCTAAGATTTCAAGTTCAAGTTCTAAGACAGCATGACATACGCAAGAGGATCTGCCATTCTCTGCAAATATTGGCATGAAATCTGGATGCAAAAGCAATGTCTCAGGAGAGAGGGAGGTACTCTTAACATAAACTGCCAGACACAGTAGGATCTCAGGTATGACTACCAGGGGTCCTTGTCCTGCATATCTGTCCTACTGTCTTTTGAAGTATATATGAAATTCTACCATTTGAAATTAATTGCCTCAGAATCTGGAGACCTCAGTGCTCAAAAATAATCAACTGAAAGGAGATGATGTCTAAAATTTAGAGCTTTTAACTTGTTTCTACCGTATACTGAAAATAATGCCCCTGGAGGCCGGCCCACATTATGACTTCCGTGGGCCCTAGGAACTCTTATCTTTCAGAACCCTTCTACATTAAAAAATATATATTTAGACCACACTGATATAAAAATGAATATATTAATATTATATGTTAAAACATTTTCTCCAACCTAAAAGTTCATTAATTTTCAATTAAAAACACTTTTGTGGGACTCTAGTAGTATCGTGGGCCCTAGGCACACCACAGTACCTCCTATATCTAATGATAAGTTGGCCCTGATTGGAGGACAGAGTACACTGTCCAAAGCAGTGCTGGTGTAAAATGTTTTTACAGTTTCAAGTTTGTCAGAAATAATACAAATTTTGTATTCTTCTATGTAATATATCCATGTTAGTTTATATATATATTTATCTTTTTTTA